AATACCATAAGAAATTCTCAGTGTTTAAACTAATCAAGGCATTACTAGTAGAGATGGACAGAATCACCTCTGTGGATCAATAGGCTTTGGTGAGTAAATTAATGGTAGAGAATGAATGAAAGGACTTTTAAGATAACTCACAGATTTCTGACTTAAGAAACTAACTAGATGGGTGGCATAATGGTCAATATAGGTAATATAGAAGGAAAAGCAGGATAGGTGAGTGGAGAGTAAATCCCTTTTGGATATGGATGTTGCATATCCAGGGTAGTGATATCTAATAGTCATATGGTCACATTGAAGTTCCAAACTAGCAGTATAGTTTAGGAGTTACCAAGCAGAGAAAAGGTGTCAGAAAATGGAACCCAAGGGAATGGTTAGAAAGATACAGAGAAAATAAGGAAATAATCATGAATGTAAAATAGACAGGTTTAGGGGCACCTGGGTGTCTCAGTTGGTTGAGCGTCTGACTCTTGGTTTTGGCTCAGGTCATGATCTCAGGGTCCTGAGATTGAGCCTGGTGTCTGGCTCCACACTCAGTGCAGAGTCTGGGTGAGATTCTCTCCCTTTCCGCCCCTTCCCCTGCTCACACTCTCTCTCTCTAAAATAAATAAAGAAATCTTAAAAAAAAAAAAAAGGCAGATTTAAGAAGGGGATGGTCCTATATGTCAGGTGATGCAGACAGATTATAAGACTTGAGAAGGAATCTGAAAATTAAAAGGTCAGCATTGACAATGTGTGGCAAGTTGGTGGGTAGCACAGTTAATGGGAAGGTGATGGTAGGTGTGTCTTTAATTTTTATTTTTAAGGTTGCAGAGGTTTGAGCATATTTAAATAGTAAGGGAAAAGAAAATAGGGAGAAGTTAAGATTCAAGAAAGAACCAAAATAATTTAAAGGAGCAGAGTTCTAGAGGAGATAGAATCAAGGCCACAGGTGGTAATGGCCACAATTATAGGTATTGATTATCCTTGAACAAGAGAGATTGGCACACTTTTTCTGTAATTGAAAGAAGAAAGGAAGGCTATATATATATATATTTTTTTTTTTAAAGATTTTATTTATTTATTTGAGAGAGAGCACAGAGGGAGAGTGAGAGGGAGAAGGTGACTCCGCGCTGAGCAGAGAGCCCGACGGAGGGCTCAATCCCAGGACCCTGAGATCACCACCTAAGCCGAAGGCATACACTTAACCAACTGAGCCACCCAGGCGCTCTGAAAGGAAGGTTATAGATGCAATTAAGATTATATAGGTAAAAGATAGGATGTTAAGTAGCTCCCACCTGATGATTTCTGTTTGTTTTTTTTTCCTTTTTTAAAAATTTTTAAAGATTTTATTTATTTGAGAGCGAGACAAAGATAGCAAGAGACAGTATGAATGGGGAGGAGAGGGAGAAGCAGGCTCCCTGCTTAGCAGGGAGCCAGATGTGGAGCCGAATCCTAGGACCCTGGGATCATGATGTGAGCCAAAGGCAGATGCTTTACCGACTGAGCCATCCAGGTGCCCTATGATTTCTCTTTTCAATGAAGAAGGTCATTTACTGAGAGATGAGAGGGTAGATTAGGAAATATGCTAGGTACTTCGTGATGTTTAGGTCTAGCCTAATTTTCCATAACTCTGTATCTCTTGCCATTGTAACTTTCAGTCCTCTGTGCCTTCCAGTCTTGGATCGTCTCAGGTTCTAAGAGTGAAGATGCTGAGAAATTTGAGGAACCCTTTATGTCTCATTATAGGGCTCAAGTTCACTAGTCCTTTTCTTTTTGCTTCTCTTAGAATTTGCTTGTAAATTGAAATAAAAATGACATGATGTTGGGGCAAGTGGATAAGGTGCCCAATAATCTTTACTAGGAATGATAAGGGTTGATTTAATGTAAAACTGTATTGCCAGTAGTTACTTTGTTTTATTTATTTATTAAAGATTTTATTTATTTGAGAGAGAGAAAGAACATGAGCGGAGGGGAGGGGCAAAGGGAGAGAGGGAGAAGCAGACTCCCCGCTGAGCGGGAGCCTGATGCAGGGCTCAGTCCCAGGACCCTGGGATCATGACCTGAGCCGAAGGCAGAAGCTTAACCAACTGAGCCACCAGCTGCCCCAAGTTACTTTGTTTTAATATTTTGTCCCATTGCTCATACTTTGAGGAGCACCTCCTAGCATAGCCTCTTTTTTTTCTACTGTCTCACTTTTCTGTCTGATCTCCACTATCAAGTACCTGAGATATCCCCAGTACCTTAAAAAAAGAGTGAGCTGGCTTTTCATTACCCAAGAAGTAACACAAGTGATAAATGTGAAGAATTTAGATAAATATGATTAATCCAAAATAGTTAGTAGTTTAAAAAGTTTTCTGACATTTTGTGTTATAGTTTATTAAAGTATTACTTGACATCACTGTCAAGGACAGAATGCTTAGCAGAGTGAAACATGGGTGTGATCCCTTTAAGGGCATGGTGCTCAAAAGTGTGGTTCTCAGGGGTGCCTGGGTGGCTCAGTCAGTTAAGTGTCTGCATTCAGCTTGGGTCATGATCCCAGAGTCCTGGGATCAGGCCCCGCATCCGGCTCCCTGCTCGGCAGGGAGTCTGCTTCTCCCTGTCCCGCTGCCTGCCGTTCCCCCTGCTTGTGCGCACGTATGCGCGCTCTGTCTCTCTGTCTCTCTGTCTCTCTCTCTCTCTGTCAAATGAATAGAATCTTTAAAAAAAAAAAAAGGTGTGGTTCTCGGACCAACAGAATTGGCATCATCTATGGGCTTGTTAGAAATGCAAGTTCAGGGGGCGCCTGGGTGGCTCAGTCGTTAAGCGTCTGCCTTCGGCTCAGGTCATGATCCCAGGGTCCTGGGATCGAGCCCTGCATCGGGCTCCCTG